GAAGTAACTTTCTTATCTGTGGGCCAACAAAGATACCGGTACCCTCTTTGACTTAGCATCACTGAGCTGTGGGAATTTTCTCCTCAAGAACACAAACCCATCACCTTGATTGTCCAAAGCCTTCACAAAACTCTTCATTAGTCCCAGATTAATGTGTAAAGGAGGTAGAAATACATCGTTTGGTTCTACCAAGGGAGTATATTTAATGTTGCCAGTCCTTTGTATTGTAGTGTTTTTCTGTTGCTCTGCTTTCAAACTGCTTTCAAACTAAACTTGGAGGAATCTATAAAAGCCGCCATTCCTTTGGGTCATGTTTTTCTCCCAACTCTGACATCATTCCATCAGTACACACACAAGAGGGAATCCTGCATACTGTACAATGAAGATAATGTAATATTTATTTTCCTCAAAACAGAAATTCTTGTCTGCTTCGCTACCAAGTTCCATTCCTTCAGTCTTGTAGCTAAAAGTTCCACCTGATGTTTTGACAGACGGAGATCACATACAAGATCATTAAGTTCATTTTGTTCTAAAAGATGTGGTTCATTGGCAGTCTGGTCAATGAAAAGAGGATCATGGGATGATTCTGGGATTTCTACCTCAATTTCCTCATCTGAAGTTGAGAGGTCTTCCAAATTAGCCGGTGGTGTAGGTATAGGGAGGCCTTCTCCGTGAGGAACGGGCCTTATTGCCGAAGGTACATTTGGATACTCATTTTGGTGAATTAACACAGCCTCGGCATTGTATTCTCTCCATTCCCCTGTTCAGTATTGCTAACCTTGCATTTAATATACCCCTACCAACACAAGTACGTATCTTATATTCCTACACTACATAAACCCTGTACACATATATCATAAAAATGTTACGCGACTGACATCTTTTATTGCCATATTTAAATTCAGCCCAAAATTAATAAAGTGCAGCATATTTGATCCAAGTTACCAAACCCTTGTCAACTACTGTAGTGTTATTCGTGGAGTGACGGTCGCCCTTCTTGAAGATAGGACTCATATAAGCCATTTTCCAATCACTGGGGACCTTTTAGCACTCTGGGATGCACCATGTCAGGGTCGGGACTCTTATGGACCTTTAGCTTTGACAGTTTATTTCTTATACCCTCTTCTGTTAACACAATGTGGGTCAGCGCTGTGTCGAACCGTCTGTCCTCAAATGCAGAAAGATTGTTCGTATCCTCTCTTGTGAACGCTGAGGAAAAGAAACTGTTCAACGCCTCTGCTTATCTTTGTCTGAATCTGCGTAACTACCATCTTCAAGCCTCAGGTCTGATGCTCCTACTCACATTTCTAATATTGACTTTGCATAGCGGTAAAACACCTTTGGGTTTGACTTGACTTAGCTTGCACAGTCAGGCTCTGGAACTCCTTTTCAGCCCTTCTACACGCTGCCATTGCTTGGTTCCTGGATCTGGCATACATCCTCCTGTCCTGCTCATCGTTTGACCCAACCCACGTCTTAAATTTCTGGGTTTTCTTCTTAACTTTGTCGACCGCCGCATGGTTCATGTGTAGGGATCTCCTCGTATTCCTAGAAGCACTGGGTTTGGTCTTGGGTATGTTTTTATCAATCAAATGGGTCACTTTACTAGTTATGATATTCAGCGTAGTGTCTGCATTCTTGTGCCTTAGTGAGTCAGGCCAGTTGATACCCCTCATCTCTTCCCTCATCCCATTGTAATTTCCCTTGTAATATTTGCACCTTGGCCTGGCCTTATCTTGAACTAGATAACAACATTATATGGTGACTGGTGCCAACTGGGGCAAGGTGTTCCAGTTTTGTCACCATACCCTCCTCGTTTGTTATGATGAGGTTTAGTGGCTTGGGTGTTTGCTCCCCTCTGTAATGTGTCGGGTCTCTAACATGTTGGAACAGAAAATTATCTCTCAGAGTTTCTACAAAAAGAGTAGCAGGGTTATTCAAGTCATTTGGGGTGAACTCGTTTCTCCAGTCTATGTTGCCATAGTTAAAATGCCCCATGATAAAGAGGTGGCGAGGGTTGAGCATCGCTGCGTTGTTTACCTCTTATCCTTAACTTAGACTGAGCAAACCTTACCATCCACACTGACTCACAAAGCTTCTCATCATTTCACTGTTTACACCAAGTTCAGAATCCTAAATAATGTTAGATCTTCCCTCTGTTCAATCTGTGATTCTGAAATTAATCTCATCAGAAATCCATCTAGAGATTTATTAGAATACATTCAAGCTGGTTGTAGTACATTACTGTACTCTGAAGAAACCACATCACAGTTCTACAGTGAATTCTGTTAACGGAACAATTGGTGCAGAGCACTTCTGGGAATGAGAGATTTCCGGATAACGAGATGACTCCCTTAAAGCCGGAAAAAAATCTCTCATCCCTGGAACTTTCCAAAACTTTCCGGGTAATGGAAAAATGTTCTCGGAAGTTCTAGAAATTGCACATTACATCATCTCTCAAACCCGGAAAAAATCCCCCATCCCCAGAATTTTCCAAGTATTGGGAAAACTTTTTCTAAATTTTCCAGAAAATGTGCTCCTCAGAAAATCGTTCTCAAAGCTGGAATTTTCCGGAAAATTCCGGCTTTGGGAAATATTTTCTGAGAAAATTTCAATTCCGGCTATCAGAGAGTTCCGGGTTTGAGAGATTCTGACTAACGGAAATATTACTTGTACTGTACTTGTGGAGATTCATATTTCAGTATTCTAGTCCTGTAACCTTGACTTGTGTGTTTAATCCGATGTCTTCTTCACTGAGTGCCAGGAACATAATCAAAGAAGTAAGAGTTGGTAAAGGAAACAAGCTTTTATCAAAACATTATACTGTACTGCAGATATTGACCATTACTAATGATGATTGATTACTTTAACAAATACGTATTGTAAAACCCAGACTCAGACTCGACTTACAGTACAGGGGGTCCTCGACTTACGAACGTCTGCCGAGAAGAACGAGGTTAAACTTAAAATTTACAGTATTTTATTTACCTGATGACTTATTTTTTACTTTCATTTACTGTATTTTGTCATTCTATTTTTCCTTTTGTCTTAGGTAAGTGATTTTAGATGTATATAAGGACTTAAGACTATGATATAGTGGGATTTTAAACATTGTTCTGTAAATACAGTATGCACATAGCATGTGTTCCAACTTACTTGCAAATATGACTCAAGAATTTCCTAAGGAACGGAACCCATTCATAACCCGGGGACCCCCTGTACTGTACCAGGAACCAGGAAGACTAGTACAGGCGTCTCCATCTGTTACTGTACCACATGTTACAAATTTTAACTCCATAATTATAGTAACTTGTTAACTAATAATACCATATATGAGTTCACACAGCTTGTTAACTAATACCATATATGAGTTTACACAGCTTGTTAACTAATAATACCATATATGAGTTTACACAGCTTGTTAACTAATACCATATATGAGTTTACACAGCTTGTTAACTAATAATACCATATATGAGTTTACACAGCTTGTTAACTAATACCATATATGAGTTTACACAGCTTGTTAACTAATACCATATATGAGTTTACACAGCTTGTTAACTAATACCATATATGAGTTTACACAGCTTGTTAACTAATAATACCATATATGAGTTCACACAGCTTGTTAACTAATACCATATATGAGTTTACACAGCTTGTTAACTAATAATACCATATATGAGTTTACACAGCTTGTTAACTAATACCATATATGAGTTTACACAGCTTGTTAACTAATAATACCATATATGAGTTTACACAGCTTGTTAACTAATAATACCATATATGAGTTTACACAGCTTGTTAACTAATACCATATATGAGTTTACACAGCTTGTTAACTAATAATACCATATATGAGTTTACACAGCTTGTTAACTAATACCATAAATGAGTTTACACAGCTTGTTAACTAATAATACCATATATGAGTTTACACAGCTTGTTAACTAATACCATATATGAGTTTACACAGCTTAACTAATAATACCATATATGAGTTCACACAGCTTGTTAACTAATACCATATATGAGTTTACACAGCTTGTTAACTAATAATACCATATATGAGTTTACACAGCTTGTTAACTAATACCATATATGAGTTTACACAGCTTGTTAACTAATAATACCATATATGAGTTTACACAGCTTGTTAACTAATACCATATATGAGTTTACACAGCTTGTTAACTAATACCATATATGAGTTTACACAGCTTGTTAACTAATAATACCATATATGAGTTTACACAGCTTGTTAACTAATACCATAAATGAGTTTACACAGCTTGTTAACTAATAATACCATATATGAGTTTACACAGCTTGTTAACTAATAATACCATATATGAGTTTACACAGCTTGTTAACTAATAATACCATATATGAGTTTACACAGCTTGTTAACTAATACCATATATGAGTTTACACAGCTTGTTATAATATATGAGTTTGCTTGTTAACTAATAATGACCAGCTTGTTAACTAATAATACCATATATGAGTTTACACAGCTTGTTAACTAATACCATATATGAGTTTACACAGCTTGTTAACTAATACCATATATGAGTTTACACAGCTTGTTAACTAATACCATACATGAGTTTACACAGCTTGTTAACTAATACCATATATGAGTTTACACAGCTTGTTAACTAATAATACCATATATGAGTTTACACAGCTTGTTAACTAATACCATAAATGAGTTTACACAGCTTGTTAACTAATACCATATATGAGTTTACACAGCTTGTTAACTAATACCATAAATGAGTTCACACAGCTTGTTAACTAATAATACCATATATGAGTTTACACAGCTTGTTAACTAATACCATAAATGAGTTTACACAGCTTGTTAACTAATAATACCATATATGAGTTTACACAGCTTGTTAACTAATAATACCATATATGAGTTTACACAGCTTGTTAACTAATACCATATATAGTTTACACAGCTTGTTAACTAATAATACCATATATGAGTTTACACAGCTTGTTAACTAATACCATATATAGTTTACACAGCTTGTTAACTAATAATACCATATATGACATTTTAAGCCTTAATAGTTTGGCCATTTAGAAAGTGTTTTATCAGTGAACGTAGCAGTTGGTTATGAACGACATCATTAACAAATAACAATACACAGCTCTTATGACACATGGCAGGGAATGGAATATGAATGCAAGACTATGAACCCAACATGTCCTCCTTAGCTCTCAGTGAAAGTTTTCCACTAACCTGAACTTTTAACAGTGAAGGAAAACATATTTATATTTTAGCACAAAAACAAGAAAATCATAAAGAAAAAACAGTTGAGATGATAAAATTATGTTAGGTGAGATGATCTAAAACAATCCACAATTATTAAAAGAAATTGACGAGATTGGTGAGAGTAACGTGACTTATACTTATAGACTGACAGACACACCAGCCTGACACAAAAAGTTCACTAACCAGAGAGTGAGATACTGTACTGTATACATGACATAACATGACTTGACATGACATGACATAACATAAACTTAGAAATGTAATGGGAAACTTTGAAAATGTTTACTACCAAAAATGGATGAGGATAAGGAAGACTTGACTGTCCTGACCGACAATGTTTGGTGTGAAAGGAATATTTTTCAATTGCAGTTTAACGTAGCCAATGACTAATCCTAGTTCACTTTTGATTGTTGATTTTAGATTTAAATACTATAACTTACAGAACCAGAAAGATTATAATTTTAATCAATCAAATACATCATAAAACATTATTTGTTGAGGATGAGAAGATAAAGAGGTAGTGTGCGGTAGTAACAAAATACTCGGTGTTAAGCAGCAAAGTACTGCAGGCATTAACTGCTTCCTGCCAACATTATCATAGACACTTGGAGCTGTAGTGGGCCACCTACATGGAGCTTTGGACGGAGGGAAATGGATCAACTTGATGACAACTTCATTTTGTCTTGCTAACAAAAAGTGATGTGAAAGCCTGACTGATAAACTGAAGCATGTCTGTGGTGAGAGCACCTCGACCACGTTGAGTGAAGGCCAGACCAGAAGCTCGACGGGTTAAGGCACAGGCACCCCAGGCAGCCACTACTGTGGGTGTGTAAGCTGGCTTCTCTTTTGAGGCAGTTGCTGTGCCAAATGCCCAGTAAAGCAAGATGGCAGCAGCCCCGCTAAGAACGTCGCCTTGGCCGCCGCATCGCCTGGGAGACCCGGGAATCTCGCAGGTGATTACGATGTCACCAGACGCAATAATGTCTACGTTACCTTTACAAGCAATAGTGACACCTAATTTCTTAGCCACCTGCTGAACGTGATCTGGTGTAACGTGCTCGGCCTTCATGTCTCCCTTCAACACTGCTCTATACAGGCGAGCGAACTCCACTTTGTTTGGAGTGAGGATGGCATTGCTATATCCCTGTAGAGTATCATAGTTTTCATTGAGGTAGAAAAGAGCGTCGGCATCAATGATGAGTAACAACTGGCGATCCTTGGCTGCCTCAATCACGTGGCCCAAGGTTGCAAATGTCTGAGGCCGTCTACCAAGACCAGGGCCCAACACTAAGGCATGAAGACGAGGCAACCACTCGTCAATTTCTGACATTGGGTCGTTAGCGTCTAGCAGAGGATGGACAATCAGCTCGGGCGAATATGACTTGAGGGGCACGGCTGCGTCGCGATGGCAGAAAATGTGAGCCAGATCTGCACCGATACGTAGAGCCGTCATGGCACAGAAGTAAGGGGCACCCGTGTACTCCAAGGATCCACCCATGATACCAATTCTACCGGCCTGACCCTTATGAGCGGCATAGGTCAGGGGTGGCACCACCTCTGACACTAAGCTCGTTAACTGCGGCCCGTTGGTGGACATCCTGCGGAGTGCCCCAACACACCTGAAACAAATAACAGTATGAACAGTACAGAAGGAAATTTCCTAGAACTGTGATGAAAAGAAAATTTCTCAGAAAATGAAAGAAAAAGAAATGAAGTTGTGTAGTAAAAACCTGAGCCTTACAATACAATACAGTGTTGAAAAGAAAAGAAAATGGATGAAAAAGTTATAAAGAATACACAGACAAACGGATGATCACACGGTACAAATTAACTCTCGTGCATTATGACACAAATACTGTAGCTTCAAATCATTGTACAGTGGTCCCTCGGTTAACAAGCACAATTCGTTCCAGCAGGTTGCTCGTTAACCGAAACCATTGTTAACCGAAACCATTGTTTCAATGGGTTTTTGGGTAATTGGTTCCAGCTCACCGAAAATTGCCTAAATTCAACAAAAAAGGTAGAAAAGTTCACTTTCTTTGAGGTGTGTATGTAGAAGGCTCCTGGATGATGATGATGATGGGAATTAGAATGGGGGTGGAGGAGAAGGAAGAAGAGAAGGCATTGGGGTGGAAGAGAAGTCACCCCATGGCACCATTTCACCCATAAAATTTTAGTTCTCTTGGTGTAATTCAAGATTATTTTCTTTAAATCAACACTGCACTGCATTATATATTGTCAATATGTAAAATAAATTTCAAAATGACCAATAATTTGCTTGGAAACACAGAAAAAAAGCGTTTAGTTGAAGAGTCTCAAGCAAGATGTTACCTCCACTGAAAACAGAGAGAGACTAACGCCTGTCTGGTGTATTAACAGGCTGGATGGCACGCCAGAAACTAGTTTCTTTACCTTCAATTATGTTCAATAATTGTTAAAATGACTAAAAAAGTTAATATTAAACTTTTAAAATTATTGAATAGTATAAACTTCTTGATATTTATTAAAATAGTAAGGAATTTAAGCCCTACAACCGATTACTGTATTGGCGGACTAATACTACAGCTGGTGGACCGCCAAATGCAAGCGAAAACATGTTGAAGTAGGCTCGTAAAAAACTCGTTAATCGAGGGATTGCTCGTTAACCGAAGTTAAGAATCTTATGGAAGGTAAATCGTAAACCGAAATCTCGTTAACCGAGGCGCTCGTTAACTGAGGGATCACTGTATATCACTATTTGTATTGGTGTTATCAATCGCGCCATTAACTTAAAAAATTGGTCCCCCCCAAAAAATTTTCAAGATAATTGTGTCAAATTTTTGTGCATCATATGAGGGAAGCTTCCAGAAAGTACCAAAACATGGGTCAAGTCTCTCCGGCCATCAGTTTCCTCCTGTCAACCGTGGTGGTAGGTCACATTTGTCTCTATCTCCTCTCTCACCTTCCCCATAAATAGTCATTTAAAAATTCCAAAGCCACTGTTGGACTGCTCATAAAATTCCACTTTTATAGCTAAATACAGTAATATCTCCGTTAGCTGGAATACCTCAAACCGGAATACCTCAAACCGGGAAATCTCCGATAGCCGGAATTGAAATTTGCTCGGAAAATCGTTCCCAAAGCCGGAATGTTCCCTAAATTTCCAGCTTTAGGAAAAAATTTTCCGACGTTGAAAATCGAGAGAATTTTCTGAAAATTTCTTGAATAACGATGAAAGTTTTTTTTATTTTCTTTTTTTTTGGGGGGGGGAAGACCTGACGCAATGTCAGGTGGAGGTAGGGTGGGAGATTAGTGGTCTCATTACTGACCTTCTGATGGCATGTCAGGTCACTCTTTCTTGGGTGGGGGATTAGTGGGTCTCATGACCTGAAGATGTCTTGAATAAACACGAAACCTAAAGTATTTTTAGGGAGATTGTGATAAGTATACACATAAATGAGCAAAGTTCTATCCCTTCAACATTATATTACATAACATTTTAAAATATAGAGTGAGAAAGGAGAAAGAAGTGGTAACATGCACCAGTGTTGCCAAGCAATAAGCTCCTCAACAGCTGATCTTTTAATTCGCCACCGTGCAGTCACAACAAGATCCTCACTGGATGCTTGTTGTCTTAATTCCGGTGTGTATGTGTGTGTGTTTTGAGCTTGCCAAGCACATTGTAAGATTTCTAGAAGTTGATGAAGAGTTTGTTCAGGAGTCAGGTGGTGAGGTGACATGCCAAGACACACATTAACAGCACTACTAAACCATTGTCTTATAGCATTTTACATTATAATTTTTATTTTTAAATTTATTGATACTGTACATGATAACTCGACAGGGCTACTATTGCACTTAACAACTGATCAATGAATAAACCAGGGCATATGGAGACACCTTAAACATGAGTCGTCACAAAGTTTTGAAAATGCAACCACATAAATTATCACAACCTGTACTTAAATGCACTAAGTTAATTACTAAAATTATTATGTCTGGTGCAAACTAAGGGATGTTTATACTCAAATTATTCGCTATCTTAAAAGAATTTCAGGAATGCAAGTTATATTCTCCTAAGTCAAGTCAATGACATTTTATAAGGTTAACCTCTCATTGTGAGCTAGTAAGAGGTTGAAGGATCCATTGAGGAGTAAAAGTGACCACGCCACGCCACCCCCTTCCCTTCACTGTTTGTCTAAAGTACTGACTCATTCATGATACTACAATACAATAATATTTATTTGTTTTTCATTAATTAGTACAGATATGTTACTGTAATAATCTGTGCTTATTAATACCTGTACCCTTCATATACAATACAGTACAGCTGTACCCCGCTTTACGCGGTTTCACTTTACGCGATTTCTCATATACGCGGTGTCTTGCCAGAACCGAACTTTCACTTTCCGCGGTTCATCTACCCATATACGCGCAGAGTGTCCGGCTTAATGCTATTTTTAGATTCGCCCCACCCGCCTGCTCCCTCCTCCCGCCTGGGCAAGCCGCGCGGTAAGGTTGCGCAGTGCATGTCTCTGTTGCGTTATCACTGACGTCATATGACGTATCGGACTGTGATTGGCCATGCATCCCTACCCTCCTCTGCTGCTAGCTGTAATTGGTTTAAAGTAATATGACGTGTCCACCCGGGGAGGGAGGGAGGGAGGAAAGACGACGCTTGACCTAGCCGTGGCAGTTTCATCCCTCCAGGCCCCGTATGCCGACCCATCTCTTCTACTAACGTAAGTGTTACACTTAACTTTTAGTTTTCCTAACCTAACCTTTATTTTTCCTAACTTAACCTTTATTTTTCCTAACCTAACCTCTTCTATATTAATTGTGTGTTCATATCGTCATAAAGTTAAGATAAAATTTTTACTACAACATAGTTGTGTGTCGTCAAAAAGTGGAGTTTGGGGGCGGGCCAGTCTCTATTGGAATTAATCCCATATGTTCTGTTGTTCCATTTACGCGGATTTCACTTTCCGCGGTACCCTGTGGGTTCAATTGACCGTGTAAATCGGGGTACTACTGTATATATATATATATATATATATATATATATATATATATATATATATATATATATATATATATATATATATATATATATATATATATTTCCTTAAAGTTTTATCATTCTTGCGTTGCCTTGCCAAAGCTGAACTTTCACTACGTGGTTTTTTCCACAGCTACGCGGTGTGAGTGTCTGGCTCGGAATAGTTATTTGTCGTCAAAAAGTGGAGTTTGGGGGTCGGGCTGGGTTCTATTGGAATTAATCCCATATGTTCTGTTATTCACTTAACGCGGTTTTCATTTGACTATTGGGCCTAGTCCGTGGCCCACCTGAGAACCACCCCGTGGCCCACCAGTTGAAGACCACTGCGGGCCTATACTTATTGTACAGGGGCCCCATACTCTGGGCCCTATACCTATTGTACAGGGGCCCTTATGGTTGTGAATATATTACATAATGAAATACTCGGTGTACACTTGAAACAAGGTTATACGCTGGCACGCTGCACGACATAAGTTTCAGTGGGCCCCCAGATACCGGTGGGCCCTAGGCCAATGGCCTACTTGGCCTATTGGTAAATCCGGCCCTGAGTATAGTACAGTACTGTACAGTATCGGGGTTCCCAAAGTTACGAATGGGTTCCATTCCTGAGGACGATCTTAAGTCGGAAATGTACATAAGTTGGAACACATGCTATGTGCATACCTGTACTTACAGAACAATGTTTAAAATTCCATTACTGTATATCATATCTTAAGTCATTATATACATCTAAAATCACTTAATTCAAGAGAAAAGAAGAAATGGAATGACAAAAGCGAACAAATGAGAGTAAAAAATAAGTCATCAGGTAACAGGTAGCTATCAAACAGGGAGGTACTGGGAAGACATTGGAAGCATGTGTTGTCTAATGGTAGACCCTGCTGCCATATGTGACCAAGTCCCAGGTTGATGATCTGACTTTCTGCCTCATTTACACACAATTGCAGGGTCTCAATTGTTTCTCTTACTATTGACAACACAACATACATATATTGTTTCTCACTTTTTATTTATTTTTTTTTCAGTTTTGTATTTCTTTATGGTTCTTTATTTTATTATTATTATTTTTTTTTAGTTCTATGAATTATTATTATTATTATTATTATTATTATTATTATTATTATTATTATTATTATTATTATTATTATTATTATTACTACTACTACTACAGTACTACATATTCGCCCCCCCCCCAGGCCCCGATGTGGGTCAGTAACCTGTGCCCGGGTTGGCTAATCCCCGCAAAAAAATAAAAAAATAAATAAAACTGTAAATTTCAAGATTAACCTCGTTTGTATCGGCGGGCGTTCGTAAGTCAGACGTTCATAAGTCGAGGACCCCTACTGTAATACCTTGGTAAGTTTGTGATAAAATATCCTAGATAAGATGCTGGGAACACAAATATTTTGTTTTTGTTTTTTAATGAAAATATGTACAGTACAGTAGTCTTATTCTCATCTTTTTTATTTTATTTTTACTTAAGTTAAAGTCAAAACAATAGTGAAGCCAGTGATGTATAAATCATGAAGAAAAGAAAAATCTAATTATTTTGTGGAATAAATCTGGCTGCAGAACAATGAC